AATATAAGCTAGGTACTTACCAAGACTTTCAATTTTTGCCACTTTTTCTTACACTAAAAAGCTATTTTCAATCTAAACTTTGATATTTTCTTGAAATTATTCTGAGCTATTTTCGTTGAACTACTTTACGCAACAGTCTTTGGAAGAATGTGAAACTTACTGCCTACAAATATGACTAGATAATCTCATAAAACAAAAAAATTCTCTCCGGGTCAAATGACCTGTTGTGGTAGATATCGGTATACAACAAGGATTACTCAGAATAAACAAAACAAAACAAAACAAAAATATTTTTATAACTGTACATTAATTACTTAGAAAAAGTCATGAAGTCAAATGTGCAAACGAATAAAATTATACGTGCATTTTCAATGGAAAAGTTCAAAATGGGTCATTTGACCCGTTATGGTATGTTTAGAGTTAAATAAAAATACAACTATGTAATATGTTCAAGTGCTTTGATAACATATTTTCAAATATACCCATATGCGAAAAAAAAATAATATATATATACACACACATTTATTTTTATATATATTATTATATTATCAGTTTTACATTAATTACGTTGACGATGTTAATTATCATTCATTATTTTTAAACTTTTTTGGGGAGATTAATCGCTTCTTTCCCCTACCAGAATGGAAAGTCTGCTGCTATGCGAACCGATGAACGTTACGCTGGATTTTAGCCTACCTGGTGAGTACAGGTAGTGAGGGACCCACAACGTTTTTTACACAAAGAAAGGTACTCCCCTATTAGTGAGCACCATAATATCCCCGAGAAGGGGGATTTTTTTGCCTAAATCAAACTAAAGGAACAAAATCTTTTCGCCAATTCCCTTATTCATATTTTGTCCTGAAAGATAAATAAATTTAGGTATTTCATCAAATCAATTGTCGATCCAAATTCATGACTAGATAACTGTCCGTTAGGTAAACAAATGGCAGGGTTATTTTTCGATTGATCTGACAATTTTTTTTTTTTTTAGTTTCTATTTCCAATTTTGCGTAAGAAGTTCTAGTTGTTGGGCCCGGCGGGTATCAGGACTGGTCTATTATTGATCGCGTCCTATGCGCCTTCTTGTCTAGCATTTAAATGATAACATTTATTGTCAAGTGTGGACTATGAGACCTGTTCAAAATGAACCAAATACTGAGCATTGTTAAATCACGTAATCAAATATTCGAACGAAGCTTTAACAAAGAGCATTAGGGTCTTTTTGAAATTCCATGAGTAATATGATTACAATTGAACCCAGAAATAAAACAAGAATAAAAATGGCTGACTTTCAGTTTTCATTTAAAAAGGGTTATTTGAAGCCAGTTACGAAACCATAAAGGGGTTAATATATTATACAGGGTGATTCAGGGTTAAGTGCAAAAATGAACTAATGACCTCAAAACAATAAAAAAATTTCCTCTGAAGGTATGTCCGCAAACGCTTTGTTTAGAAGATATTAACACCTAAAGATTTTCGTTTTTATGAATTATTTACGTTTTATGAAATAAATAAAACCTATTTATCATTCGACATAAAATAGAATGCAAACTTTGTTTCTCGTTAAATTTTATTTACATAGCTAGGTCCAATTTAGCTCTATCTATAATGAGTAAAATATTAAAATAAATCTTACCGACCGTTGCAGCAATAGATAGAAAAACAAATTTAATCTGGGACTAAGTCCCTTTAGAAGAACAAAATTGTACAAAAAGAAAAGACTACTTTTGATCTGAAAATTCGAAACAATAAATAAAATTAAAAAGCAAGAAGATGGTCCGGGGTGGCGGTCATAAATAGGCTAAATAGTGGGAAAAACTATTTTATTAAAAGCCAACGTTTCGACCCGACTTTGCAGGTCTTCTTCAGGGAGGTGTGTTCAGCTAGGAGTTTCACATAGAACTGAAGTTAAAACACGCCTCCCTGAAGAAGACCTGCAAAGTCGGGTCGAAACGTTGGCTTTTAATAAAATAGTTTTGCCACTAATTAAACTATTTATGACCGCCACCCCGGACCATCTCCTTCCTTTATAAGGTACCGGTCAACTATTAAATATTCAATAAATAAAATTAAAAAAGTAAAGAAAACCTTAAGTGTACAAACTACTCGTATAAACAAAACAGATAAAACTATGTATAAAACACTTGAAACTATGAACAAAACACCTACAACTATGAATAAAACACTATATATCATGGTTCAACAGTGTAAATATACACTGCAAGAAATGAAGAAAGAAAAAGAGACAAAATAAATTAAATTCTTCTCATAAGAAAGCTCTAAGTTTTTACTAATACAGTGCTACCAGTGGGTAGTTTCTCAACTAGCGTCTTCATGTGATTATATTTCTATATAAACATTTACTTGATGTATTTGTATTGTAATACAGTTGTAAATATCTTGAATCAGTAAACAAAAAAAAGTTTTAATTTAGAAAAATGAAAGCTTCATCTGTCATGATAAACCTAATCATGTAAATGCTGGATAAATAGTTTTTTTTAATGAGAAACAAAGTTTAAACTCGTTAAGCGATACCACAGTTCCATACGAAAATGTTTTGGGGATTTAGGGTTTTATCTATCTACCTCCGATGAGACTATGGTCATTGCGGAACACAGGCCTTCTCCACAATCTTTCTCCATTTCATACTCTCCTCAGGCATCCTCCTCCAAATCCTCACTCCAAGCGTCCTCAGATCCGCTTCCACATCTTCCAGCACACGCAACCTTGGCCTTCCTCTCTTTCTGCCTCCTCCTGGATATCCCACCATAATCATCTTAGGGATTCTACTTGCTTTCGTTCTGTGCACATGACCCAACCATCTTAACTTACTTTTCTGGTGGAGACAACATCAGGTGAACCATAGAAGTACATCAATTCAGGATTTGTTCACAACCTCCACTGGCGTCCTTCTCTTGTCGAGTCATATATCCTGTGCAGAATCTTTCTTTCCGACATGTTCAGCATTCGTTCATTTTTCTCAGTTAGGTAGACGTTCCACTTTGGTCTCTATACTACACAGAATAACACAAATCCGAACTCAGTAAAACGACAAGAACCAAAGATATAAATAAAAAACGTTCGAGAAGTTTTTCTTTATTTCTGCTTCACAAATGAATAAAAACAAAAATTAATTAATATGAAATTAAAAACCGAATTTCAGCTTTCTAAATGTTTATAAACGTTGAATTAGGAGAAAAATCTTCAGGAGTTAGGAATGCCTTGGTTGTAAACTGAAAAAAAAAAAAAATCATCGAAGAAAATCAAGTAGTAAAGTCTGTATTTTTTAAATTCTATAACAATTCATATTTAAACGTTTTAAACCATACTAAAAATAAATATAAGTTCCTTTTTTTATCATACAAATTTACTTTATTAAAAATTACCTATTTTATTGAAAGCATTTTTTTGTAATTTATAATACATTATAAATTATTTAATACTATCGGTACAGGGATGCCCACAAAGAAGTTTCATGGTACAAGTTGTGCCATCACAAGTGCAAATTTTGATGGGATTTTGATTTTTCGAGGGGAGCAAATTTCGACGGAGTTATGAATTTTCGGATTGAAAAGTTTTAAAGAAGGAGGCAAAGGGAATATATCGAACAAACCTTAGCAAGTCTGATTGTATATGATTTACGGTACTTTAATTTCTAATGTTTTAAAAAGAGGAGAGCAATAACATATTTTGAGGGGGGAGGAAGGTTCATGCGCCTTGGGGGGGGGGGGAGGAGGGAAGATGGCATCCCTGTATTGGTAATACGTTTTACTTAGTGTGCACAAAAAAAGAAATCGTATTATATATACCAATACAGTAACGAAGAAATCCGGGCAAAACAAGAAATATCACAATTTTGTTTTGAAAACATTGAATATTTTTATGCTTTGGACATGTGTCTGATATTTTTCAATATATAATAACTCCCCAATAAAAATTGCTTGAAATCTGTGATCCACTGACTTTGACCTCTACTTGTAAGTCTGACCCTCTAAATACAGCAACCGACCTTTCAACAAGATCGATCAAGTTATAAATAATAAATCATCATTTTGTCCATCGATTGAGGAGCTATACGATTTAGTTCTTTTTTTTAATATTATTATTATTTTTATAACAGAATTGACTTTATAATTCAACGATGCCAAGTTACTAGTGTTGAACTATTTCATTTCATGATAGTAATAACAATGAAGACATTCGGCGCCTCCAAAAAATGACGTCATCTACCTCCCTCTAAAAAAATCAAATTTATTTCTCAAGCTGTTTTATATTATTCAGTATTCAGTATTTGAGTATAATAGGTACATAGAGTGTGAATGTGATCTGTTAGCTCTATTATAAATGTCCTAGAGACAGATTGTAATATTTTTCGATAAATAAGTTTTTAAAAAAATATTTCCCTAATACAGTTGCTTTATTAATAGGCTAAAATTAATTATTTTAAAAAGCTTTATATTAAGTTTTTTTTAATTTCAAACGAGTGGCGTCTCTGATGAACGGCACCACCGACGAGCGCACTTCCAGGTAGGCTGCCCGGAGAAATTGTACTGGTTGCTCGACTCTAATGCCGGCACTTCTAATATTAAATGTCTGTTTTTCAGGTTATAATTTGGGAAAATTCACACAGCCTCATGTCCCCAAACTGTAGTCAAAGAATACAAACCCGCCAACGTTTCCCCAATTCAGGCATCATGAGGACAGAAAAGAACAACTAATCGGACATCACTCCATGACTGGATTTAAGCAGTATACGTTTGGGTGTCATGGAGTGATGTTCGATTAGCTGTTCTTTTCTGTTCAGATGATGCCTGAATTGGCGAAATGTTGACAGGTTTGTTTTATTTGACTACATTTTGGAGATATGAGGCTGTTTGGTTTTCGGATTTTCTAAATTATAACCTAACATTCATGTTCTGTCTCTTGATTAGTTTGTTACTAATTTATTAATATTAATTTGTTTTGTTTTTTACTAACGATAACCTCTCGCCTCTGTTCAGATACAAGAAATCGATAGCACTCAACATCAACAGCTTCTTGAAGTCGATTGGCTACCACGACAAAGACCTCTTCCACAATGGACGTCCTTTCGAAGAATCTTTCATCCACGTTATCAATACAGTCGCCAAGGGTCACCTAGGAATGACAATCAATTCTGGAAAATACATCAGGCCTGCTGCCAGATATATCAATGTAAGTTATAATTATTCTTAATGATTTATGGGATTTAAAAAATGTTGAAAATTTACTTATTAATTAATTTATCGCCTTCACAGTTATCCCCTAGAGTATCGGTAATGACAAAGAATGGTTAGGCTTAGTTTAAAGTCCCAGCTTCTCCCCATTTTTTTTTTTCTGTTGTTACTTTGTTGATCTTTTGCAGCCTTGACCAACCTTCTCTACATATGCCTATCTTGGGCTATTTCCTCCAGTTAACAGTTCAATTACATCTTTGTTTATTCGATCTATCCATCTGATTTTTGGCCTTCTACGTGGTCTCTTGCCTGCTATTGAGACATACATTGTTGTACTTTCTGATGGATTGCTCCGAGCTAAATGTACTTAGCTCGTTCTCGTTATATACATAATATCTATATATTATATATTATATATATATATTATATATTATATATATATTATATATTATATATAATATTAATATTTATAGCTCGTTATAAATATATATAATATTTATGAAGAATGCTACAGGTGTAACTGAAAACACTCAACTTTCAACACATAAGTGTAGTCAGTTTTCTATATTAATATGTTTCTTTCTTGGCGAAAGAGAGATTTGAAAAGATCTATTTTAATGGCGATGACAAACCGTAAAGGTAGCTGTTTAAATGAATTTCCACATAACAATGACTTTCGTGAGTAGCTCTCTAGTTTTATTTTTACTTTACAGAAAGCTAATTATGATTGCAATGTGATCGCTACAGTAGGAAATAACGAATACAATTTAAATACGTAAAAAACGTGGAGAGCTGTCATCAACTCCACAATATTTACTCTACTTTATATCGAACAATAATACATGGTATATAAATGATTGTAAAAATGGAATGTTTTATCAACAGGAGCTCTGCACGTCTGAGGCAAGGGTAACGTATCCAGTTGTATTAAATTGCAACAAAAAATCTGGCTTGCAGGGTAAAAAGAAATATCTTGACGGCTGAAAAATTTTGATTTCTCAAAAAATAAAATAAAAATATATAGAATAATAATGAACTATACCAAAGATTCAGTAAACAATCCCGAAACATTTTTCTCTATTGAATGCGTAACAATGTTGGCCACAATGGAAGCAAATATGTGCCGAAAAATCCAAATATGAATTTGTGCTTTAAAATAAACAAAATGCAACTGTGCTAATACTTTTCTGACCTCACCAATTCACATTGTAATATTTACTTGGTCTCAGCTAGCCGATTCAGGATTTAATTTTGAGGGGGGCTTCAGCCCGAAGGTTTTTTTTCATAAAAATAACGATAATTACTTTGGAAAAAAAAGAAAGGAACCTACCTATATGAAATGGCGTTTAAGTGATTTCTAAAGTCCTTTAAAATGGAACAACACGAAAAATAATACTTTAAGAGATAATTGTTTATATTTTTTCCCATAAACCATGATTATATTTTACCATTTTTGGGGGTGTAGGGGCTTCAGCTCCAAAGCCTCCCCCTCCCCTCCCCCCCGGTAGATCCGCCCGTTTCAGTAACTAAGGACTCTTTTTCATACTTTATTGCTTCTTCTACCTTTTTAATAATTTTAAAAAGTTAAAAAACATGGCATACTATTTAGTTAACTCTGTAAACGCAATTGACATATGGAAACGTATCATGAATAGTCCAGTGTAATTCTTCGTACTTAATACTGTGGGCGGATCCCCGTATACCAAGGGGAGGGGGAATATCCTACGGCGAAGGGTGGGAGATTTTCGGTCTTAAACCCAATAATTTTTTCATTGGCCCATATTATTTTCTGTGAGTGATCTGAACTAAGTACTTAAACAATCAAAATGTGTGTTATTTTTAAAATTAAAACGCATGTATTTCAGCTCTTAAATGTTAGCACGTGTCAAGAAAAAAAATCTGGTGTGTCCACTCACACGACCTTCCTACCTATTTCAAAAAGTTTTTATATCTTTACATATGTTCATGAAGAAACAAAAAAAGAATTGAACTTGATACATTTTCCTGAAAATTGATCAAACCTAAGATTTGAGTACGATTTATTTAATAAACTAAAGAAATGTAAACCGGCTTAAGATAGATCAGTGTAAAAATTTCAATACTTCCTAATATTGCTGATCAAAAACTTTTTGGCATAGCTTAGTATTGACAAACAATAATTTATGTTGAAAGTATAGGAAATAGTGAAGGTTGTGTGATGCGGGCAACAGATTTTCTTACTTTCACTTAGTCATCTTTATTCTCTGATTCACCCCTACCTAGTTTAGGTAGGAAAGTAATAAGTTAAAAAAATGCGTAAAAAAATAGAATAAGCTGTATCATCGCTAATACTGGTTCGATTCCGATGATTTTTTTTTGTTGATTTGTTGGTAATTTAATTACCTTTTAAAAGTTTTATTATAAATTTTACCGTATAATATATACTTAGGGAGTTAGGCCCTATAACATTTTTCTTTTCTTTGTAACTTTTTTTCCTGAATTTTTTGGGGAATTTAGTCTACATACGAAAATTGAAAGAACAATGATTAGAAAATTATAGGAAAGTTTCATCAAAATCGTTAGAGCCGTTTTCGCGCTACAATCTATAGAAAAACATGTTTTTCATTTATTGCGCGCAAGCTATTGCGCATGGAGCACCGAATTTCTGTCACAGCCATCAGTAGTCATAACCCTACAAAATAAAAAAAGAAGCAACAAAATCGGTTCAGTAGTTTCCGAGAAAATCTTGGCACAGACAGACAGACCAATGGCTAAAAATGTGTTTTTCGGACTCAGGAGGCTCTGAAACATATAGATCCGTCGAAAACCGCATGTCGGAGATTTGACCCGATTGCAATACTTTCCTTACCTAGTATAGGTAGGAAAGTAAACATATAAACAATTTATCTCCGAAAATCATTATTGTTCCTTTATACACATTTTTTTAAATTGCATTTGACAGGACTTTAAAAACCACTCAAAACAGTATATTATATAATTTCTTTCTTTTTCTTACTGAGTAATTACCGTTATTAAAAGAAGGGAAAAAACACCTAAGCTCTCCCCAAAAATTAAATCCTAGATCCGCTATTCGTTATCGCTATCGTTTTTATAGTTATTGTTCTTTTTATAACCAATTGAAACAATCATTGTTAACTGAATCTATCCCGATTTAGATATTTCTGTCAAGAAATTTGTCATGATTTCATTCCTGGGCAGGGGGTGTTCAACTCCCTCCCGCTCACTATGACACATAAAACTCCACCCCACTCCCAAGACATTTCATTGCTCTCCTCTAATTAAAAACAATTTAAGCGAAAAAAGAATTAGAAATATCCTTGATCGTATACCACAACACTTGATGTGGTCTGTACCACGTTTTTCCTCTTGTTTTCTCTTTTGAAATTTTCCATTCCAAAAATTCACAACCCCCTCTAAATGTGCTCCTTATAAAATTCAAAACCCCGTCAAAATGTACCTCTCCTTTACCTCCCCCTCTCCAAAAAAAAAAAAAAAATTAGGACCTATTTTGCGTCATTTAGTCACCATCTGGATTTCCCTTTTCCTGGAACCTAACAGTTCTTCCAGATTAGTAAGCAATGCCCCCATTTCCGCGTAGTAGAAAATATTTCTTTTTCTAAAGTTCATTTTTTTAAGGTAGAAAGTGGTGTCACTGATACATTGTAAGAAATTACATTATTTTTATTGCACTTATTGAGTTAACCGTTCTATTTAATTACGACTATAATATTTTTTAATTTAATAATTCTCAAATCTATCGGTTGTCGAACGGCACAGATATATTTATTGAAAAGTTTAGCAAATGAACAATAGAAGAACGTAAGGTCGTTTGCAGGGTGATTTACTTCCGTGGTTACCCTGGGGTAGATTGGATCCCACGTGAGACCCTTCACTGTGACACCACCTGCCCTCCAAACCACCCCTAGCGTCCCCTCACGTAATTCCTAATGAAAGCACGCAACCTTCAAGCCTAGGAATATTTCAAAGTAATAATAGCAGGAACATTATCCAAAATGTTAAAGAAAGATTAATAAAAAGAAAAGAAAAGCTACTTTAGGCATAACTAACAAGACCAATATTTTTTTTAATAAATTCGGAATGTTGAGCAGTCTACAGAGCCGATCTACAGAGAGGGCACTTTCCAGCTGAAGCCTCCACCCTTCCCAAAGTGGTAAAATATAAACATGTAAAGTAAAAAGTATGAAAAATTAAATTCCACTTAGGTAAGCAAAGCAGAAATATTTGTACCACTCAAAACGTACTTATTTAAAATTATTGAAAGTTTATGAAGCTGTTAAAAATTATTGAAAGTTTAAGAAGCTGTTAAACGTTATGATACAGTTTATTATATTATGTAATTGACATGAAAATTAATTTTGAAAATAATAGATTGATAATTTATGAACAGACTATTCATGAATAAGGTTTTGGATTTAGTAAGTCTATACTTCATTTTGAGCATCAACACAATTGGGAAATAAATTTCCTTTGGCTAAGCCCTAGAGGTTGGTTGCATACTTCACAGTACTTTTCTCTATTTGTCTTCTCATCATGTCTCCAACCAATGTAGTACATTTAGTTCAACTTGCTACTAGTTTTGGATTTAATCCCTTATAATGATTGGGTATTATCTATAACAAATGCATCCTTAAGATACTGGACAGGATTTCTGATATAAGTTTCTACAGCCACCATAGATTTGTCAAAGTTTGTGAAGAACCCTTAACATACACATGATAGCTAAAATAAGTTAAAATGTTTGTGATGAGGGCTTAGACAAAGGTAAAAAGTACAGATAAGCCTCTGTTTCTCGAATAATGTACTTAATCTAAGTTTTTTTGTCCTCTCCTTCCTCGCCTTTGACTATACGGGGTTTTGCCGGGCCAGAGGGTGAGGGCGTGGGATTAATTCTAGAGTTAAAAAGTCCCTCTCGCCACTGGGATCTCGCGAAATCCTAATTATTTTATCAATTCATCTTCCATCAGGTTGCTGGGCAAGGCGGTGCTGTGCACATGCATTTGCCTGCTCGTCCACTCCGTACCAAAATATAAAAACAACTGTGGCTGCAGAATTACTGCATCAAATGAATAAATATGTCTGTTTTTAATTATACAATTAGAAACATTTTTTATTAACCATTTACCCTAAGGAAAGCCACCCATCAGTTACCAATCTATTTGGAAATAAAGATACAAAAATGGAAATGGATAAGGCACATCAGGAAAAACTATTTGGCAATAGAAAAAAAGGAGCCTTAGAATGAAACCCTTAGAGAAAAAGAAGGAAAGTCAGAGCAAAAGAGAAGTGTTGCAGGTCTGCAGAGAATGAAGTAAAGACGACTGTATTGGTAAGTCATAGAATGAGGCAAGGAGGGTGGCTGCTGAAAGAAACAAATGGAAAACAATCATGGATGTCCTATGGCAGTGACGAAGGAATTAATAATAATTTACTCTTACCAAAATATACGACCGCTGAAGCATTAAATAGAAATAGAAACCAAAATATTATAATATTTTTAGATAATCTTAAACCAACTTTACTAAAAATTTTCCAAAGTAATGTATAAATATTTAAATTGTAGTTGCAAAGAAGTAAATATATCACTGACAGGTTGAAAATAATAAATTATTCATTTTTTAGGAATTGGTGGTAATAGGAAGAAGCAGCACAATGTCAATGTCAAGGGAAATCGAGGATAAATTAGCAGAAACATTAAACAAAGAATTGATAGAAGGTGTTCTCAGAGTATGGCGAGCGTATAAATACTCCTTAAAGGTATGAATATTAAGTTATTTTTTGTTATTAATCTTTAACCTGCATTAAATTAAAATTATTAATGTCCTTTAGTTTTATTGATGCTCAGTTACATTATTATTAATATTAATAAAACTTAAATAAGTTTAAAGAATTTTATTTGAAAATTCAAATGTGAGTGTCTTATTTCAAAACATTCAGAGAAGTGTGGGATGTGGGGTACTTTTTAAATTTAACCTGTCTATCAAACCAGAGAACTATGCTTACCAGGATAAGTTGATAAGCTAATCAAGCTATTCAGATCAATCAATTTTCAAGGGATGGGAAATGATGTGAGTTGCACACTAATGGAGATTATGCCAATGGTACATATAATTTCTCCTAAATCTTGTACTGCACATTACTGCCCTATCATTCAAATGAAAAGAATTTAGATGAAGAAAAAATAAAGTCAGCAGCAATAGTCAATCAATCTCTTAGACCTCATAAGTTTGTACTTCTAAAGAACAACTTGATTAAATACCATAAACAACTGTTAAATCAACAACTATTAATGGGCTTTTTTTTTTTAGGTACCAAGTTGTGACCAATATTTACTTTGCGAACTCAACAGAGCAAATTACAAAGTTGGATATTTGGTGAGGCCAGGAATAACAAAAGCTGCCAGGTAAATATACAATAAATTGATAACATTATTACTAAAACACAATATAAAAAAATGTATTACATAAAAGTAATTATTTTTATAACTAATTTTAATCTTTGAATGAAACAATGCCTAAATTATATTTGATTTACTTTTAAAGAGACCAATGGAAATTTAATGTTGCCATTGTGAAATCTCAGTACACATATTAATATAGCCCAGTTTTTAATCAAGCCAGCTTATAGTTAAAGTAAATTAATAAGTTTTGAAAATGTGAAATAATTTATTTTATTATAAGAAGTTTTAAGTTTGTTTATAGTCTGTAGTGGTTGAGCATGTCAGTGCAGTTCCTTATCATCCTTAAGTCATAAGCTGTGCCTATTTAAATTTGGCCTGCAGGACTGACTTTAATTTTTTGGAGAGTCCAGACAATAATTATCAACCTTCACCTTGAATAGGTTGGTAACCTGCAGGACATAATCCATCCTTCCAGTATTGTCAGGGGACAAAGGAGATTAGATCAAATAAACAAGTATGCTCATTGTGCTTTTATCACTGAGTGGGTTATTGTTTATAAGATTTAATTCAAGGTGATGGTCTGAAAGCCATCAGAAAAAAATAATTGTTAATTATAATGTTTTTCCTGATCAACTCCTAGAATATTTCTTTAAATTATCGTAGGGACAGCTATCTACATACATTATTAAGATTCAATGTTTCGACATACATACTCCTAATAAAGCTGGAAGGATCTTAAAGACTGCCAACATAGTTAACTAAAAATAAGAAAACTTTATTCAATTTATAAAGAGAAAATATTATTCAATAGGCTCACCACTTAAAGAAAGTGTAAACCTCCAAAATTGAAGTTGAAGTTTCAGATACAACATTGATACAACCTTCTTCTGACTAAAATGCTCATAATTGTTATGATAGAGAACTAAATGTTTCGAACCCTGGTCTCAAATAGATTTTATAAAAACAATAATTTCTTAACAATAAAAAATTCATATGATGTAGTAAATATTGTCAGTTTATTGCAAAAAGTCATTAAATGAAATTTCATAACCTTAAATAATTTAGAAATTTGAAGAATTTCCCCTTTATGAAATCAGAAAATTGTGCAATTATATTGATTATGTTTGATATATAAAAGGTTTTTATCATTTTCATGCACTTACAGCGTTTTTTTATCGATAAATTAAGTCAAAATTCACAAAAACATACTTGAAAGTTAACCTATATCAAAAATGTACTTCGTGACCATTTGCAATAAACCAATGATATACTTAAATTTCTGTACAATGTCTTGAATGAGCTTGAATTTATTTTTTAACAGTATGGTATCAGCATGGTTTCTTTCGGGCCACACTGGAACGCCCTTCTGGAAACTATACAATGCAGCTGTTGAAGAATTTGATTGTCAGGTATGAAATAATATTTATGAATTCAAAATCACCAATAATTTCATATCTTCATTGTTGATTTTTAAAAACTTATTGCATAGTTTTTTTAGCACCAATTGATAGTTCTTTATATTAATGTACAAAAAAAAGTAAAAAAAAAGAGATAACTCTTTATTTGATTAGGTTTCTCCTCAATCATTAGTTCATATTGCCACATTTTTACAATAAGTAATAGGATTCAACAAATTAAAAACTTCGGTCCATCAAAAACATCGCTAATTCCAATCATAAAAAGTTCTATTTGCCTTGAATTATCATCTAAATAGAATGAAGTATTTTGGAAGAAATCTGGAATCAATGTCTATGAGGTTTTAATTTGTTTTCTATCGGAATAAATTTTTATACATGATATCAGTCTGGTAATGTAAAGTTGAGCACATAACATTTAATTCGTCTTGATAACTCACTCTATAATGTTTAATCTCGATATGATGCTACTATTATCACTGGAGTGAGATGTTTTTCAAATCCTTGGCATTCAATTTTTTTGTCCAAGTATATAATTTGAAAAAGAATTATTATATGATAATAATGAACTTATCTCTCAGAATCCCAATCAGAAGGTCAAATTTACCCATTTTACATGCTTGAATGTATATTGAATTTTAATAATTAACAATGATTATTAGTTAAAATTTATGTTGTTTACTTCTCTGAACAAATAAAAATCATAAGGGAAAGATATTGAATGTAATTAAAGGATCCATTGGATAAAGGTGACATTTTGGGAAAGTTTGAATTATTGCAAATAATAAAGGCATAAAGTGATGATTTTTTAGTATTCTTTCCTTCCATTCACATAAATTAAATATTTGGTTCATAACTAAGTTGACAGAGATGCCCATTGACAATAAACATTGGTCTTATAGTGGATACAGGTAATTTTAATTCATATCTTTAATAACTCAAAAATGTTACTATATTTATCCATCTAATCCTTCAATTGTTCAACACAAGGTAAATCTGAGAGCCTCATGATTCTTTAAGTTTAAGTAATCAATTAAAAAAACTTATTATTACATTTTAGTAATATCTAATTTTATTTAGTTAATATGTTTCATTTTTACATTACACATTAATAAAAAGAAAAAAAAAATTAATGTTTCAGACCAAATACCCAGTTGATTGTTCGGGATTCCATGAAGAAGACATCCGAGTAACAACAGAATATTATCACAGTGAATTATAAAAATTGAATGTAATACCGAGTTTTCGGCTTGTGAATGTTTTTTTTTTACCATAAGAATTTATGTTTCCATATGTAATTGTACCCCTTCCTTTTCAACCAATAAAAAAAAACCTTTGCAAGCTGAAAAATGCTCAAGTTAACCAAATCAGATTGAAATTAAATTGTACATTATTATGAACGTCTGTGATAAACACAGAGCTGTTATATTTATATTGTACCTAGAATGTACCTTGTTTATTGTTTAATATTATTTAAGATATGTTAATGTTTACCTTAGTTGTCAACTAGTAGAAGTAAGCTTCAAAAAATAAAAATCCATTGTATTTTTCTTGAATTCTGGACGGAAACATTTACCAAGCTTTATTGTGCGAATAGAACATATACAAAAATATTTGTAACTCAATATGATATGTATAAAATATTTAAATTATAATAATACGATACGAAATAATAAAATATAACAAAATAAATAACAAAAAATTAGCTTTGTGCAATAATTGAATACAGGCACTTAGGTGTTCACTCCATTTTCCTAGTTTTTCTTCATTGTTTGCTGTGCAATCCATTCAATCCCTTCCTGTAAGTAAACAAAAAAAAAGTTACCTCATTAGATTTTAATAAATAGGTGTAACAACCATCTATGTTAGCAGAAACAGTTATATTAATATAACTGATCAATTTCAATGTTTTACTTTAAATTATAAAACAGTCAACAAAAATATTGTTAATAGGATAACATATAAACACAAAACTCTTCACATATATGTTTTCTCTATTTAATTAAAAATTTAAAAGATTAGTTGTTAATAAAAATAGAATAAATTGTGAACTCAATTTAAAAAATAATTCAATAATAAAAAAGAAAATTTTGGTTTGAGTAAAATTTAAAAATTCAGAAAAACATGTATAATTAAAAACACACTCAGTCCATCATTTGTGAATCATAAAAAGAATTGCATCATTTCTAAATGTAAAACATTCAAGACTTCCTGTTGAGATGTTCAAGACGACATAATTTTAGAATAACATAATACAAAAAAAAAAAAAATATATATATTCAATACATTTGTTAAATGTGAATTATTTGATTCGAAATTGCATTAAAAAAAAAAAAATCATATTTAACCTTAATGCCATCTCCTGATGTGGCCGAACAAGATTGAATTTGCCATTGTCTATCCTTTATAGTTTGCAATGCCAGGGATTGTGCAACTTCTGCAGCTGTTGCTGCAGTGGCCAAATCCTGTTTATTAGCATACACGAGGACTGGTACCCCATGTAACTGATCTTCAACCAGAAGTTCACTTAATTCAAACGAAGTTTCATCCATTCGTTTTCTATCAGAACTATCCACAACATAAATCTAGAATTATTGCAATAGGAAAAATTTAATTTTTTTATAAAAGAAGAAATTGATATTCATCTATAAATGTAATATCTAATATTAATGATTTAAATCAAAATTTAAGAGAATACACCTATAGAAAAAGATTTGAATCATAAAATAAATACATGATTTTGCATTTTAAACTGATAGGATAACATTAGGTTATATAGACTGTGGATCTTGAAACCCTCTATGGGCACACTAAGCCTCTATACATCGAACACCCGTAAATAAGGAAAAACCTGACAGTTGAGCATGATTCTAGCTTGATCATCTTTGTACATAACTATACATGCAGAAAAGGAACTTCCTTACCTAAGATTACCCACAACTTTCTTAACACAATACCTTTGTAGTCGAACAAGAAATAAAAAAAAAACACCCATTTTTTCGCAATAAAGTACACATTGTGATTTGGATTATAATCAAGCTACAATATTTCATCTAAAGTTTTCTTTGGCTCTGAGTCCTTGAGATATGAAATTGATAATATGGAATCCCTTGTATTGCATAATGAGCATTTTCAGGAGGTTATGAGGAATTATATTTAGTGAAAACTGGAATTGTGATAACATAAATGTTATTCTAGTGATCGGTCTCACACAACTGTCTTTTATCAGTCAAAATATGTATTAAGTTTTAATTTATTCTTTATATATTTTTTTACAAGAGATAACGAGTTGTTATATATTTTGTGAAAGTAATGACTACTAATCTGCATTCTCTAAAGCAGATCTTTTTTCTAATTTATTTTTTGTTCATCGGAAGTGAAGATTAATCTCAACACACAAATATTTAAAAATGAAGAAAGAATAATAAAGGAAAAATGGATAGAAATAAAACCAGTCATAAAGTAAAATTAGTCCACTTTATACACACACACACACACACACACATATATATATATATATACTGATATGAAAATCCTGAACAGTGGCCTCTCTTAAGAACATGATTCTTGTTTCTCAAGTTCTCATTATAAGATTTTGGTTAAAAACAACATAGCTTAATATTTGAGTAAATCATTAATAATTGTAAGCAGTATCTTGTAATTTGAAATGAGTTAATAATAACAAATAAAATCACCAATGTATACAGATTGGTTTTCAATGAACTCACCAATACATCTGTATTTTCAAAGTAATTTCTCCAATAAGGTCTGATCTTTTTTTGCCCACCAATATCCCATACATTCAATTTAAATCCCTCAGCACTCACAGTCTTTATATTAAATCCTTGAGTAGGTGTTACATGAGTAACATCTTCTCCAGAAAGTTTTTTCATTAGAGTAGTTTTTCCTGCATTATCAAGACCTAGTAGGAGAATTCGAAGTTCTTTCTCAGGTGATGACTTTAACCTTCTCAAAATAGCTAATAGCCCCTATAATAATTAATTAGTTACGTTGATAATTAGAAATAGAATATTAATAATATCGTAAACACTAGTTAAAAAATATACCATGGTGAATGTGTGGAATTGGATGTTCACTTAGTTTTACAAGGCTATTATTCCATACAACACATTTTAATTTCAGAAGGGAAAAGATCAATAAATGCAAACTTAAGAATACAAGACGTGACAATCGGTACGTCCTAAAAGCTAGACAAATTTAATTAATTTAAAAAATTCAAATTGCATAGCCGTTACGAATTTTCTTGTCAACAGTTAATTTGTAAAATATAAACAATAAATGTAAGTTGCCGGGTCTCATGTAAATAGTGATAACGCTAATATTCAAGTTCGTACTAAAATCAAAATAAATATATCTAAACTGAAAACAATCTATTAAAAAAAATAAAATAAAAATAAAATATTTTAAATTTTATTATATTTTTCTACGTATTTAAAAGATGGAATCAAAAGCACTTATGTAGCATAATTTTGAAAATATAACGTTAGCTCTGGTGTTAACTCTTGGTATTTCTCCGCCGCCTTTTGTGATAGCAGTGTGAAACTGAGACGTAAGTACAGTTAGTTATTTAAATTATTTGTATTTTGAAGGATTTTCTTACTGGGTTGGGAAAAATAACACTGGATAGAAGATTTTTGATAGAAATTTTATATGATTTTTGTTGAATTTCTGAAAATGGTTTTGGTATAAGGAAAAATATAATTGGGTCTATGAAATTGGAGGGGGACGGGTTGTGGCTGGGAGCTATGGCGTCGGTTACAAAGCTTGGTCCGTTCCCGCTTTTTCTTCATTCTTAGGCTTGCTTTGGAACCGTTGGGACATAAGCTTCTCACCTTCTCCTTCTTTTTCATAGGTATTTCTACACTTATTCAATCAAATTTTAATATCAATTTGTTAGTTCTAGTCTTGTAATAACTAATTATTGACGCAGTATTTATTTAACGTTTTCTTTTTTACGATATATCGTGTTTTACTGTAGTGTTTGGTTTTTAGGGACGCTTCGCTTTAATTGATCTGTAGTTTAATATTTTATTGTTTGTTATTTCATTATTTTTCTCATTTCATTTCTTCAGTAATATTAATTTCCTTGAGTTATTTTAATTGAATTTTATTTTACTCAACTAAAATAGAGGTGTTGTCTACCCAAGCTTGGTTGCTGGCTTTTATTTTGTCAAGTGGTTAGACCTCTTAAATCAGTTTTAATTTTTTAATTATAATTAATTATTTTGTTTTTATTTGTGTAATTGTTCCGTTATTTATTATTTTTTTATGTATGACCTTACTTTATCTGCAATTGATGCCCAAGCCATTTGGTCAATATAATTAATTACCTAATGATATTTCTTTTTCTACTGGTACCTTCGATTTTTGTTTATTTTTTCATTTTTGTTGTGTTCTTGATACTCCCCCCTCCCCTTTTTTTTCACCAAGTCTCTATTTTTATATAATTTTTTTCTTTAAGTCTTAAAACTTTGCCTGTATTAAGTTTGTTTTTGTTTTTTCTAGAATTATCATAATGTCAGAAGACGGAAGCACAGCTGTTGAAAAAAAGAGGGGAGGCCGACCCCCTAAGGCTGAGAAGGCTGCAGACAAGGATAAAACAGAGAAAGAGGTTGGTGAATCAAACTTAACATCTCTTATGATTTCTATATTGTATGATGTATTGTTTACATTTGTCTTAAATTATTTTTTCATTTATACAGGAAGTAGCACCCAAGGAAGCGAAGAAAAGGGGGAGGCCTGCTGAAAAGAAGGAAGTGAAGAAGCCAGAAAGTGATGGGGAAGCTCCAGTAAAACGGGGTCGTGGCAGACCGAAGGGAAAGAAAGCTGCCGCCAAGAAAGACGAAGGCGGAAGTAAATCAAAAGCCAAGGGAAAGCGAGGACGACCAAAGAAAGAAGAAAAGGAATCTGAAAATGAAGAAGAGGAAGATGAAAATGAAGAGAATGGAGAAGGTGAAGATGATGAATAAATGTGTAATGAATGTTCCAAATTTTTTTTACCTCCCTTATGTGTTCTAATTGTATTCTTTATGTGAGATGTGGACTATAATTCTTGTAATTTTCTTCAATAAATAATTGATAGAAATATTGTAAAGTAAGAATGGTGAGAATGTTTTGGCTGAGCTGTATCTAATTTCATTAAACTTAAGTAATAAATATAAGATGTTTTTATGAAATTGAGTTCATTTTGTTCCTTTCCTTAATTCGTAGAACACTAAGTATTTAGATTTTTTTTTCTTGTGTGTAACCAGTTTTTTCACTTATCAGAATGGCTTTTGACCTAGAGGTTGTTGACTCATTAAGTTATCTATCCAATTCATAACTCCTTTTTGAAATTTGCGGTTCTGTGAAAGGTAAATAATTTCTGTAGGGTCTTATTTTTTTCAATGAAATCTTTAATTATTGCTGCATATCGTTAATTATGAATAGTATTTGTCCATTGTAAATATACATGTTTATGTTAAGATTTTTAAATAATACTTGATCTGGAAATAATTTTATTTAATATCAAAAACCTTTTTAAAAATAAATGCTTATAACCTCACCAGGTTTTAAACATTTATTAAGTTTTCTAATAAATATTTTCAATAAAAAAGATATTGTAGAATAACTAATATTTACTAAATTATATTAATGAATTTAATCAATCACACCTCAAGTTTTTATTTGTTATAGATTTATTTATAGGGTTAGGTACTAAAACATTTTAAGACCAAAAAATATTGGTATTTAAATAGATTAATTAACTGTTATAATTTTAACCAATTGGTTTGAGGTATAAATGTCCTGAGAGGTTTGGGCAGTGGAAGTTCTATGTCTCATTGTGTCTGTAATAATTTTTTTTTTGTCTTACTGATTATTTAAAGTAAAAGTGTTACTTTTCAATTTCCTTCATAAAACCTTGGTTTGTTATCTAAACATTTTTTATTAGCAAAATCATTATGTTCTTTATTCTAAAATACTCATTTTGATCCCCAAATATATTAATTAGCTGTTTAATGTAGAATCATGTGCTAGATTTTCAATACTTTATGGTCATACTTATTAATTACAAGAATTTTTAATCATTAATTACAGTCCTTTATTCAATTTGTTTACTAGAATCTCTACAGCTTTTCAAATTCAACAGTGACCATGTTCTTAAAAATTTGTAATTGATTAAAATTAATTTTGAGGTTATTTCAAAAGGAATTCTCTTAAGTTATGCAATGCAAAGAGATTTATTAATGTATTACAACTTTGTAATCTTTTGAAGTATATTATATATATATATTTCAATTAAAAGGTATAAGACTAATAAAGGTTAATATATTTTATTCAAATTATTTTTTCAGTTCAATATCTGGTCATAGTAGGTTATGCAGTACCAATCTTAAAAATAAAATAAAAATAGGTTATGCAAAAAATAAAAGTTAATTGTAATTGCTAGTTGATAATTACATATTTGAGTGAGAATTTTATACTTTTTATAACCAAGTAGTGCTAATATTAATGGAATAATAGGTTTATAGTAAATTAGAAATTTCAAAATAAAAACTGAAAATTTATATCACATTGAAATATACTTTTAAAATAAAATCCTTAAATGTTTTAAAGCATAAAATTTTAAATCAGAGTAGTTAACAGATCAAAAAATCTGGAGGTGCTCACATCACAAAACTTTTGCTTACTGCATCTATTACTTTCATTAGAAATAGGTATTTTAATACAAATAAAAATAAAAATTACAGATGATATAAAATATTTATTTAAAACAATTAGCTATCATATATTTTTCCCACACATCTAATCTGTTAAATGAATGTGTTTTTCATCACTATCCTTTCCTTTCTATGACTGTATTTTAATTATCAGAGTGCAATGTAATTTTTTTGGCCACATAAGAGTGCCATGGCAAAAAAAAAAGGTTCATGAACCGCTAGTCTATAAAATAGCAAAAAGGATTTACTACCTTTTGATTATATTTATTTCATATACCTGTATCTATACCTAATGTATGTAGGCTGTATCTAAATACAAATTTTAGTTTTCATTTCTCCGTAATCTATCTAATTAAATATTAATTAACTATCATTTATGAAAGACCCATATACACTATCAAATCCTACATATGCCTTAATACAGTATATTATTCACATTCAGAAGTAATTGTCATTCCGAACATGATCAAGTCCTCCAAACACGTTTAGGTGTCTTCAATGGTTCTGAGTTCCATTTTATTAACTACTGGTTCTCAGTTTCCATTTCTTCTCTAATTAATTATCCAATTCTATCATATTTTGGGTTTAACCATTTTTTTTTAAGAAGCAAAAATGTGAAGTTGTTAGTTAAAAAAAGGTGCTGAAACATCCCAGGAATACACCCGCCTTAAATATGTAATTTCAGTTTTGTATGACTTTTTGTTTTTAAGCTAGGCTGTTTTCACATACACACAATCCTTTTTGCGAAACTTGGTTTCTGGACTAAGGGAACCACAAATGTGTATCGCAATTGAAAAGCTGGGTTAAAAATTTCCATAAATGCAATACTTTCCCTTACTATATTTTTCATATAAAGTTAGGAGAAAGTAATTATTAACACAGTTACAAGAAAAATCATTCAAACTATTAGCAAGATATTTTTCTAATTAGATGTGAGGTAATAAGCAAACATATTAAAAAAAAGGGTGAGGGTATAATTAAAATTAACTTAATATTGAAAATATATCTCTGTATTTTCATGATACAAAAAAAAAAAATATATATATATATATCTAAAAATACTAAATTCAGGTACAACAGGTACTTATCATTTTTCTAATTTATTTAGCAAAATTATATGGTTTATAACTGAACCTTGCATATATATCATCCAGTAAAACAAAATTCTTACACTATTAAGTTTGTAGTTCCATAGAAAAGGTGGTTACACAAAAAAATCTCAACATTCAAGGAGTCGGCCCATATACTTGAGTGACAGCTGTAAGATTTTTAAAATTTTATAGTCATAAGTCTCTGTAGCTTCCATTTCGGACAATCATTTAAACACAAGATAGAAGTCAACTTTAACATTACAGTGGTTAAGGCTATCTCATTCCTTTTAAGTCAAGATAACTTCTTTTCACTCAGGTTGCACTAATTTAATTTTTAATTTCTAAATGGTTTTCCGAAAGCATCATTAGCTGAACATTTGCTTTGAGCTTGATAACATCCATGCAAAATTTGTTCTAAATTGAGATGTTCCATTGGTAAACAATCTTCTAATATAAATGATCCTTGTTTGATTCGACACAATTTGGTCACATGAGCGTGACTGTTTAGAGCTAAAAATAAATAAATATATATAATTTATATGTAGGCTATATATATATATATATATATATATATATATATATATATATATATATATATATATATATATATATATATATATATATATATATATATATGCATATGTATATGCATATGTGGGCTTTGATAGTGTATATGTGGCTTTCATAAATGATAGTTAATTAATATTTAATTAGATAGATTACAGAGAAATGAAAACTAAAATTTGTATATGTATATATAAATTTTAGTTTTCATTTCTCCATAATCTATCTAATTAAAAATATATATACATATACAAATTTTAGTTTTCATTTCTCTGTAATCTATCTAATTAAATATTAATTAACTATCATTTATGAAAGCTGCATATACACTATCAAAGCCAACATATGCCTCACCTATAATATTATTATTATATGCCTCACAGCATATTATTCACATTCAGAAGTAATTGTCATTCTTTTTGATATATTATACTTATATATTATAAGTTGTATATAATATAAAGAGTTACTTATATATTATATACAAGATTTATATAATATATAAGTAAATTATGTTATTTTTTTTTAAATAACAATTAACCACAAATTATAACAAAGACCTAAAATATTTTATAATACATTCAGAAAACTTGTGAATTACCTAAATTTCTTTACAACACATGAAAAGAACCCATCAATTCTATTTTGAAAGGTAAGATTTCTGACTTACGTTAATATTAGAGAATGCAATAAATTAGTTAGGGATCAGAAAGTGAAACATAATAAAATAATTAGTTTTTATTTAAAGCCACCAACCATTGGAGCCATTTTATGGGAAAGAACCAAAGCTCCAAAATGCTAGTTAATCTTTTAACCCCAGTAAATGAACTAAATTTTATAAGCGATCCTTAAAATTAATTTAAATTAAAATCCCCTTTGACATTCACATTATTACTACACACTTTTATTGAGACTAGGAGAATTTTAATCTAGCATAGAGTTTATCTAAATAGGTAAATCAGTAATATAAAAAAATTTGTGATGATTGAAAATAACAAAAAAGGTCTAGTAGAAAAGTAATTTAAAACTTGTTTTCATCAGCCTGTAGTGGACTCCCAAGGGAATTAGGACAACCTTTATGAAGTCACTTCATTAGATCAATGAGCAACAACTAACAACAGGTGTTTGTGACAATCAACTAGGCATAATTTAAAAAAATAAAATCTTCTGCTGTAGGAAATAATTTAGCTGTCAATCTTTCCACATTATTATAATTTATAACATACAAATTGATTCATACATGTAAAAGGAATGGAAAATCAAGGTTTTAAGGGTAAATTGAACCCTCGACTTATAAATTTAACGAGTTGCTCAAAGGATTTATCCAATACTATTATTATTATTATTATTGAAAAATTATGTATTTTTTTAAAATTAAAATCTCAAAATATATTTTATAAATGGTTTAACTTTAAAATTTTATGTAAAAAGATAAGTCAAATAACTCTCTAATCTCCCAGAATCATACAATTAAAAAGTGCATCAATGTAAACTTAAAAAGTACAAAATCTAAAAAAGAAAATAAATTTAATTGTTAGTACACAATTGGATGATTCCTAACACAAAACCTTGAGTCTCTTAAATACCATTAAATAGTTAACCACTCAAGCTGATATTCTAGAGTATTTATTTAAATGTCTAAGGGTGATGTATTATCTCCAACCGATGTATCTTCCTTACAGCTTATTTTAGATGCACTCTATTTTGTCAGCATATACATGATATTGCTATTTCTGCGCTAATGATGCCTCAATTGATGAAATATTGACCGATTTCTTGTTTGTTTGTTTCGATATCTAGGCGCAAAACATCCAGCTCATAAGCGCCCGATCAACTAAATAACACCACTTAATACTGTTTGGATGGATGTACAAAAAATAAAAATAAAGAAATGGATTGGTAGAATAAAATAAATAAATAAATAAGGACAATAATAGACATTCATAAATAATAAGATAGAATAGATAAATAAATAAACTTAAAAAAAAAATAGAAGTAAAATCAATAAATGAATTGAAATTAATAAACAAATGAAATGAAATGAACAAATGAAAAAAAAATAAAATAAAAAAAAATAATAATAAATCTGCAAAGGATCATTAATTATAAGCTTGTCATATATGTTTTTTTAAATCTTTTACTATCCAGGAACTTAATGACTTTGGTAACAATTTCTTCTTGATTTCTAGGGATGCTGATATATTCTGGGGTATACCGAGATCTTTTCATCTTGCAGTGTAAAAAGGGCACTCTTCCAAAATATGTTTTATAGTTAGTGATTGGTTACACTTTTGACATCTGGGGATAAGATCTTTTGTTATGAGGTGGAGGTGTGTCAGTCTAGTATGTCCGATCCTCAGCCGTGTGAGGATGACCTCTTCTCTACGACTGCTGCGTCTGGAGCTGGTCCACAGTTTGCTGTTGTCCCATCATCTTTGCCATTCTTGGGATATGGTTACTCTCAGAGGACGCGCAAGTTCAGATGGTGTCAGCCTGGAAGAGTAAGTGCTTCTTTTGCTGCTTTATCAGCCATTTCGTTTCCTTTAATGCCTATATGGCCAGGCGACCACATAAAATGTGCCATTGTTTCAACTCCATGAAGCATTTTTATAAGACTTAGAATGCAGTGTCTGGATACATGTTATTCATGGCTTTCAGAGTACTTAGGGAATCCGATACCACAGCCACATTTGCAACTGGCTTCTTCATGACGTATCGGAGACTCATTGCTACGGCGTTAATCTCTGCTGTGTAAACACTACAAAGATGGTGTAATTTATATTTGTAGGTAGTATCAGGGGTGAAAAAGGCTGATGCAGTAGATGTATCTGATTTGGATCCGTCGGTGAATATTAAAAGATGTTCAGGTAATGTGATGATTATTTTGTGGAATTTTTCTTTATAATCTGCAGGTAATGTACTATTTTGGTGAATTGGTGATTTCTGGTTTACTGGTATTTATGGTAGATTCAAGAGTGTGTGCATAGAATCTTCCGATTATATCCTAAAAAGTTAAAAACCAAAAAAAATTCCCAATATGATAGAAAAAATAACAAATTATTTCTTATATCATCAACAGGAATGAATGAATTGTATAGTATCTCTAAATACATTATTTTTCTTCATTCATATGTCAAATGTTAGTTGATTTGATGAGTTATCATAAATAAACATATACCCATTAATTCTATGGACCCTAAAGGATTTTCAAACAATGGTAACAATTGTTGATCATTGAAACTTTGAATATTTTTACCACATTACATTATGTAGTATAAGTTCATCCTACCTATGCCTAAATCATGCACTAAACTTCGAACATAAAAGCCAGCACCACAAGATATGAGCAATGTAAAGTGAGGAAGATCAAATGATATACATTGAATATCACTGCAGTAAACTGGTCTAGCAGAAAGATGTACAGTTTTACCCTCTCTATAAACAGAAATATACAAGGATTAGCTAAAAGAATTAGGAAACATTTATAAGCAAATATGAATTAACTACCTTATTAGGTCTGACATCCTTTTCCCATTTATTTTAAGAGCACAATAAGGTGGAGGGATTTGCATTATATTGCCTTCAAAATTAGGCAGTACACATAAAAATGTATCTTTTATTATATGGTCTGAAATAAAATTGATTAGCGATTTTTAGACAAATTTTCTTTGGTTCAATAAAATCAAAATGTTGCACAACATATATTACATTACGATAGGTTACATAAAAATGAGAATGGAAAAAATATCTTGGGCACAACATAATTAGAATGAAAACGTATTTAAGATAGGTATCAAATTAGTATTAAAGAAGAGAATAAAGAATAAGATAAATTAGAGCAACATAATTATGATTAAAGAATAAAATCCTTTTAAATTAATTTAATCACTATTATGTCTGATGATATGAAAGACATGATGATAAAGTTGTTTTGATTTTTAATCACAGATAAATTATAAAATATCCTATGAGATATGAGACTATTTTTTAGTAATAAGCATAGAAAGTGTTTTATATTATAAGAAAAATTAATGACATCAATATTCTATATTCCACCAATACAAATTACACTGGTATTGGTTCCGATTCCAAAATCACCAGAGGATCTTCTCTTAACTACAATGATACAATATGTAGTTATGGTTTTAAAAATTTTAAGACATAACCATAAACAATAAAAATGTACTGTGAAACCTAGAATTATTATATTATATTGCAATTACATCACAACCAAACCAAATTTCTTCATTCTTGGATCACATAATGAATGATATACATAAATATCTAAATCGCAAAATAAAGTTCATATATATAATTCTAAAAATATTTCTAAAATTCTATTTAAAATGGTTAAATGTTTAATTAATTAACTTTATAATGAGTTAAACGTATATACATCCAAGAATGGTTAATATGAAATGGTTATGCTTTATTACAAAGCTAGTACCATAAGGAGAGCTATGGATAACTTTTCCTAATTTATTGTAAGTGTCTGTAGCTTCACCAAATTTTCCGGACACTAAATAGCTTTTATTTCCATGGAGAAAGTGGGTTAAAATCTTACAGCCATGATTAATTCCAATAACTGAAATTGAGATTCATGTTACAAATCCATGTTGGATATATAATGGATTGAGACAAAAAAATACTAAAACCACCAAGAACTCCTGAAGCATCATAATCTAATGTCCCTCCATGCCCAACTTTAATTTTAAACCTCTTATTCCATCCAAGATCTGTAATGAAAATAATGTTATATACTATGATATTATGCAAACTACATTTTAAAATAATAAATAATCCCACCCCTCATAATTATTTTTTTAACAAACTCAACACAGTTGGAAGAGGTCATATTTTCTTTTTTATTTAAACAAAAAATGCCATTTTTCAACAACTTATATTTTTCCATTATTACACTGTAGAATCTTCTTGCAGATATTAATAAATGTGAGTTTATGATAACATTAAATAACCAATGATAACGAACTTGATTCTTGCCAAAAAGCCACGCTAAGCTTTAAATATTTCTAAGAGCCAATCAAGAACGACTAACTGTCTTCAACTGTACTGCTAAATAATTTTTTTTGGTAATAATTACTTTATTGAGATATATTACAATCTGTCACATTCAAGGACAATGTTAATATTGATAAAGAGTAGCTCATTCATACTATGCACAATAAATAAAAGTAATAAACAGCAATAAAATAATACTAAGACTCTAAATAATTAATGTTATTAAACTAACTGTTATATTTATATATAAATAGATTTTTCATATTTTTTCTAAAATTAAGCATGAGATTACATTCTAATAAATTACACAATATGACTGTTTAACAAATATTTATATTTAACTTTATACCAAAGCATACTTACCAAACATTACAGTGGCTTAATAATATTATTATTAATTTATTATTAAGCCACTGTACCAAACATACATACATGGCGCTACATCCCGTCACTGAAACTGGGCCTCCTCCAAAAGCTTTCCACAGTCAATACGATCAGCTGTAGCAGCTCTCCAGTTTCGGACTCTCAGTAGAGCCCGTGCGTCCGATGTCGCTAAGTCCTCCCATCTTATATTTGGCCTGCCAAACTTTCTTTGTCCATGCATCTTTTCGGACAGCATTTTCCTGAGTGTCGCCGAATTATCCATACGTGCGACGTGCTCCGCCCATCGAAGTCGTCCAATCTTGATAAACTTCACCAAGTATATATCCTTATAAAGGCAAGCGAGTCCGACATTTTTCCTTCTCCAAATTCCACCCTCTCTAACAGGACCAAAAATCCTTTTCAAGATTGATCTCTCAAAGATCAGAAGTCTATTTTCATCTTGCTTCTTAAAGGCCCATGGTGCTGATCCATAAGTAGAAATAGGGCGGACCAAGGTTTTGTAGAGAGTGGTATTGGTCCTGTTAGAGAGGAACCTGTTTCTAAAATACTTTGAAAGGCCGTCTTGCCGTTGCTATCCTTCTGTTGACTTCTCTAGAGAGGTCGTTTTTGGAGTTGATCTCAGACCCGAGGTAGACAAAGCCTTAATACCCTATCGAAATTATATTCAATACCTTTTCGAAATTATATGTTCTAGCCACAAAAGAACCGGTCCGTGGCCATTTGTTTTTGCATATTTGTAAAACTCGTATGATATTCTATCAATGCCCTATTTAGCACGTTGCTTTCATGTAAAACGGGATAGACCTATCCCCTGCCAACTGCATTTGGTCCAATCTTCAAACGCCTTTTCTCTCAGGGACTATCAAACTTTTCTGACTGATGGTGAGGCTTCTATATCATCCATTATAATACAATGGATAATAATAATTATGAATAATAATACAGCAATGAACGATGCATATCAGATCAGCACATTTCATTTCTGAAATAAAAAAATTCTTGAAACTAGACACCTGGTACATTGGCTAATTTCTGGTATATAGATCAATGATGAAGCGGAGCATCCCACTGACATCACAAAAGGCTCAGTCGCATTTCACAAAAAAATAAAATAAAGTTAATTTAATGTTGGTTACTTTTTCAATTCCTTCTGCATTGTTGAACAACTTCTTTGGATATAAAGAAGGTTATTTCCTGCAGGTTCAAATCCAATTTGAAATAATTGTTTCTTTTAGTAATGTTATTGTAGTTAGTTTATCATTTAGTTTATTATGTTTCGAAAAATATTCCCATCGAGCGGCGGAGCAATAAATGTTAAGAATGCCAAGAAAACCATAAGACTAGCTAGATATGGTTGTGCAAATAGACCATTTTTCCACATAGTTGTTATGATGTCTGGAAGAGGACAACATGAGCAACCCATTGAACAATTAGGAACTATGGATCCAATGCCTAATGAAAGAAATGAAAAGTTAGTAGCATTGAATTTTGAACGAATTCAATATTGGTTGGGGCAAGGATCTGAGGTCTCTCCCCCTGTAGCAGAATTATTCGGCTTAGCTGGATTTTTTCCTGTCCATCCTCGCACATATATGACAGCTTGGAGAAATCGATTCAAGGCACGAAAAGATTTAGAAGCTAAGGAAACTAAACAAATAGAAGAAAAAAGTTAAGTTCTTCAAAGGATTTTTGTTTGAACATGTTTAATTATTGTTTGAGTTGTGTTTATATTATTTATAGAAACTTTTAAATAGTTTTCAGCTTTGATTCTTAAATAAAATATTTTGACAAAAAGTTTCGATATTTTTTACTTAATTTTTTATTCTATTTCCTTATTTGTATGTAGTTTTTACTTAGATGTTTTATTTTTTCTCAATTTGTATATAATAGTATGAATGTACACATAGAGCCTTAATGCCCAATGCCCTTGATTGTGGCAGATAGTATTATTATTATTCCAATAAAAAGTTTATAAATAAAAAATTCCTTATTGATAATTAGTACAATAAAGTAATCAAAATATGGAAGTTGCAATGTATTTAACAATTCTTCCATCAGACTCCCCCTGGTATTCGTCTTAGCTATTTCTGCAAAGTGGGGCAGCAAGCATTTTGTCTGCTAATATTGGAAAAACGTATACTTCATGCTTACAATTTAAATTAGTTTTAGATTATAAATTGTTGGCCCATTAGAATCTGATTTAGATGTAGACATTCCTCTTGTTGAGTATAAATATGAGTTAACATCGGAAATCTTCTGAAGAGAATCTTAATCCAAAAAAAGATTTTAAAAGCCTCAAATTTTCTTAATTTTTATTGCGGCTTTTTAATTGAGTACTTCTAGCTGTATTTCTCCAATAACTTGGTCTATAATTAGAATTAAGTCAGTCCTTATAAAAACTGTAGGCGAATTGGGACCTTTAATGATACCAACAAAATATTTGTTATAACTAGGTGGAATTAAGGACTAATTATGTGAGGAGGAAATGGAATTCCAGAAAAAAATAGAAAAATAATTATTTATTTTTATTGATTATCAATTATTCATTTCATAATTGATTAATTACCAGCATGTCATGGATTCCATAAATGATTAACAGTTATTGTTTAAATTATTCTCTCTAGGAATGTAGGCGTTTTGTGATTTATTGTACTATAATTTTAATTCTTTATGTGAATGTTAAACAGATAGGAATCTTTGGTGAAGATGCCAGAACCGCAACTATGCAAATTGTACTGTAATATATACTGTTATAATTAAGTAGTTTTAGCATACTATAAACTGTTGGCATATTGAGAAATTAACTAGCTTCAATTAGAACAGATCATGTTTGGCAACTTTAAGATCTCCAATCACTAAAAGGGAACTGTCAGAATTTGTTCTAATCTTTTAGATATGTTATATTTAGCGAAAATAGATATCTAGTTTTCAAAACAACTAACCCATTACTACAGAAAAAAACAAAACATTTTCCAAACGTTTCCTTTCTTTACAAATAACTAGAAATCGACAATGTGAAGAATCCTTCCTTATTTTCTAATCATATGTCAAAAGTAAATATTTATTTATTTACATCTGATGTCAGTCCTAGACAGGAGATTGGCAAACAAAAGTAATTCAATGTTAACAAAAATGTAAGTTCTAAATAAGAAAATTAAAAATAGAAGAAATGAAATATTATACATAACATAACTAACTAAAAAAATAAAATCATATAAAAGAAAACCTTATACAATTATATTATCAACAAAATAGAAAAATCGAAACAAGGAATTAAATATTAAAAAAAATATAAATTAATTTATTAGACTGAGCCAATAATTATTGAAAATAACTGATCATGTTTATTATTTTAAGAAGATTAATAACAAATATTTTTAAAAATCATTTAGTTTATTCAGATTTTTGGACTCAGAGAAACTTAAGTGAAGTTATTAATTGGTGCTCTACCATTACAGAGTGATATATATTTGCATAAATATTTTTCTGTTAGTGATACAAAAGCTGAACTAGTTAAATTTGCTATGTGATGAGTCGACTAATTCATGCAATGCACCGAGCTTACAAAAATAACAGGAATAAAATTCAAAATTATTCCTATGCTCATGATTAGTAGACATAGTGCTCGCAAGAGTTCAGCAGCCATCACAAGTAAACAAAGTTCAGCATCGCTCCAGGAAAGGTTATAATCTACTGGTTATGGCCGCTGGACCTATTGCCGAAAGGAATCAAGGTTTGTAACGTTAATTTCTCTTATTTTACATGTTTTTATTATATGTTTTCACCAAAATATTATAATTGAATCAAGTTTATTTCATTTCTAGTAAAACTGACGATTTAGAATCTTCCAATTATTTTTTTTTCAGATGCCACGATATATGTCGGTGGATTGGATGATAAAGTTACTGAAACTCTTATGTGGGAGTTATTTGTTCAAGCCGGACCGGTTGGTAAGTTGGTAACTTAGGAGGAATATTCCTTAAGTTCCTATAGAAATATTCCTTAAATTTCTTTGTGTGGATTTGTTTTATCAGTGTGCAATTTTTACCATACTTCCTTTCTGTTGTATCATCATCATAATCTTATTTACTATTTTTAAATTAAAATGTTACTCATATTTACATAATATTTTTCAAAGGTGTTGTTTTTTTGTCAGCGTACCATTTGTCAATTAATATTATATCAAAAGCAACTAACAATCCATCATTTAGAAGATTATCTTCTGTGGTAATGCTGATAAGCGGAATAAATAAATAAATAAGCGGAATCTCATATATATTATTACACTAAAGCTTGAAATTGGATTTGTACTAAGTATAAGCTCCTGTGATGCTCAAATGCCATGAATGGAGTACTATTGGATTAAGAATTTGATAAAGGGCGAATCGTACTCTCTGCATATGTTTATATTTCTAATAAAATAAAGTTGATATAAATATTCGCTTTAATGCTGGTACAGTGTTTTCTTATTATTTTGTCATTTGACCATTGACCAATCTACTGTGAGAATCATTTGCACAGGCTAACTTGTCATTTATTAAAGATAGAATGATAAGTTGTGAAGTATAGAAAACTCAATTTATACACAACTTTAAAAG